ACTACACATGGACACAGACCTTTACACTGGAGGAGCTTTAACAACTGTAGTGGATAGAAATGTACTTGTGTTTGGCTGATTGGTGGATGTCTCCTGTAGCAGTATTTGACTGAATCCTTTTAGCAATTTTCAGTGGATCCATTGTAGCGTGAAGGTTTTGTTACATTTAGCTAACTACCAAGCTAATCTAACTAATTTCCCATTGAGAAAGTGGAGCATTAACGTTGATGTTACTCTCTCCTCCTGCGCTCTCCTCGCGCTGACATTAACTGTCCTTTGTTCATTAAACGTGTTGATGGAAAATGAGCAGAATCATCACAACTCGTCCTGGTCGTCCTGAAGCTTCACAGCTCAAGTCGGGTCAGTTGGTTCACTTCCTGTGTGTCCGCTGGAAAATAATTTGATGCAGCAAATTAATTTTTATTGTCTATACACACAGAGACTGTAGCAATCAAATTACAGAAACTACACTGTCAGACAGAAGCAAAGATTCATTCTCCTGGGGTCCTATCACTACAAAAAAAATTAGTTCATTGAAAGGCCCTGAGTGCACACTCACACACACACACACACACACACACACAATTAGATCTCTGCTGGAGAATGATAAAGGGGTCATTTCTCCTGTCTTGACAGGTGTTACAAAGTTAACAGGAGAGTGAGGAAGATGTCAGTCACACACAGTCTGACCACACCCACATCGTCCTGAAACCTAATCAGGTAAAAACGATTACAGGCACCTGAGTGGGTGGACGTGGATGTCTGGTTCGGTTCAGCCTCACTGACAAAGACATTCAAAGGATGAATCTGAGTTCGGTGATCTCCTTCGTTTTCTCGTTGTCACGCCGACAGATCAAAACCTTCACTTTTTTCAAGAGGCCTGAAAATGAAAAATAAGATGAAAGAGACGAAGCAGAATCAGAGGACGGCGATGAAACGAAAAACAATTAGGATAAAAAACTAAAGAAAGGGGAGAGCAGAGAGCAGGAGGGGGAGGAAGAGGAGGCGGCGATGGCGGAGAGTTTGGCAGTGACCATGGTGACATGGATGCGTCATCTTCTCCCAAATAATAAAAGCCTGGCTCAGGTCGTCCCTCACCTGTTGTATGGAGGCAGAGAATCAGGAGGAGGAGGGTGTCAGTGCTCCATCCTGACCCTGAACATGACGCAGGCGCTCCTGATGATCTGCCTCTGATCCTCCTGTGTGCCGCTCCTTTGGGGCTTTTTAATGTGGGCACATTATTTTCAGGCTTCTGCACAAAACCAGAGGAAGTCAGAGAGCGAGGCGAGAGAAGAGACGAGCTGAAGGCGCTCTGCATCACCACCTTAAATCAGCGCCGTTCATTGGACGCACTCGTTGTTTTGGTGAATGATGAACTGAACGAATCCGTTTGCAACTAATGAACGTGAACAAACCAGAAGGTGGCGCTGCTGAACCAAAAGGCTGTTTGTCAACCACCAAAAAAAAACACCAGAAGAGGAAGAGGAGAAGAAGAAGAAGAATCTGTGTTTTGGTTTTACGGCTACCTGCAGCAGTTTACGGCACCTGGCAGGTGTCAGGTGTGGTGTCTGGTGTCGGTGCTGCTGAAGTCAGTTCGTGTGAGCGTTTGAAGACTTTTATGAACAAATCAGTTCAGATTCAAATGATGAAAATCACCTGCTGCTAAACCTGCTACAATTCACTGTAATTAATAATATCATTAGCTGACATTACTACGTTTTTTAAAAGTGCAGTATCGTATCTTGTGAATCGGCGCTGTACGAATAAAAATTTACTAAAAATCTCAGAGTCTGAATAAACAGACGCATCAGTAACGAATGTGAAACGACACATCGAGGTAAAACATCCGGACCGTGTTTAGAAAATATCTGAGTGAATGATGATCACAAGAAATCATTAGGAGAGAGTCAACAAGTCTCACCGCACAGACACAGAGACACAGACTCACCCTGGTTTGTCTCGTCCTTTAACAGCGATCTCTGTCCGTGACTCTGTAGCAGGGAACTTAGGTTTTGGATTATGAACTTCAGAACTTCGTGAACTCGTTCATTTGAACCTTCGTGAACTGAACACTGCGAGCTGAGTGTAAAAGGTCCCACAGTGGTCACAGAGGATGAATTCATTCATTTCCCATGATGCCACGCTCGGGACAAACCGTAGTGGTAAAGATGTAAGAATCCGCCCCTCCCTCCCTGTGTCTGTTTCTGCTCTGTAACAAGTGCTGCAGCCCCGCGGGGCGGCTGCTGTGACGGTACATCTACTCAATCTATTTTTAAAGGAAACAATAGAATTTTCTTTATAGAGAAAAGATTGTTTTTTTTTTCTTCCTTCCTGTGGTTTGTACCTGTGAGTCCTTGTGAACTGCCTTATATAAGAAACAACCTCGGTAAATAAACCTGCCTCACCTTGATGTGTTGAACATTAAAAGCCTCAATTCGCCGTAATATTCAGAATAATGTAATATGTTGTTTTCATCAGCAGCTGAGACCAATTTACAAACCTGTATGTATATAAAGAAGTTTCCTACAGGAGCAGCATGACGACTCTGTGTGTGTGTGTGTGTGTGTGTGTGTGTGTGTGTGTGTGTGTGTGTGTGTGTGTGTGTAGTCTGAGCCTGAGCACCTGCAGTTCAGGAGGCGTGGATGTGCTTTCAAAGCCTTCGGCCATGCTCCATGTGTATGACTCATTTCATTTACAGTGTGTGGTCAGTGTGTAATTAACTTCTCAGAGCAGCGAGTCCATGAGAACGTCACTGCTCAGCTGATGCTCTTCATCACAGACTCCAGTAAACATTACAACAAAAACAAATGTTGTTCCAGCGAATGATTCCTCTTCATCCATGTGAAAGAGAGCAGCTGGAAAACAACAGTTGTTTACTTATTATGAAACGACACTTTTTTATTTGTGGGATTTTCAAACTGTCTTTCAGTTCTGATCCAGTTTGTGTTCACACTGACTTTTTTTTTTTTTTTACAACAAAACCAGGAATAAACATGGACGGATCTATAAAAGGACGGACGTGATTCACTGCTGCACTTTACGTTCTCTGGCTCATCAAGAAATAACGACTAATGATGCTCATAATTACAGACTAAACCTGGACCTGGTATGTTATAAATACCATCATGCACTAGCTTGCAGTCTTCTTCCCTCGTCGCAGCCGCACTGTCAGGATTATATTTCATAGTACGCACAAGAACCGCCTCTCCTGCTTTTAGGCAACGTTTAGATTTCCCACACTCGCACAAATGTCTGCTGATCGATCATATTTTTTCATGTCTGGTCATGTTCAGTTTCAGCCTGGACACAGAAACTACAGGTGTTTTATGTGATGCCGCTGCCATCAACAGGTCTTTTCTCTGTCTATTTTTGCACTGACACGCCCACGGCACCATTAACATGCGCACCACGTTTATGGTAATCAATATGTTGCGCAGTCACCCGCTCACGCCACACTCACTCCACGCTCATCCAGTGTGTTTCCTGCTTCACACGCCCCAAAAACAACAGCAGCAGCTAAATAACAGGCGACAATACACAATCATACTCTACTGAATATCCCAGAGAAACGTGAAAGTCGACATCAACAGACATGTACAGGGGTTACGTTTGCCGGCGCCGACACGTCGATCAGTGGATTGGTGTGAATATGTATTCCTGTGGCAGGAATATGTAGCGTGTCACCTGTGTCGCCTCATGTGCGTGCACAAGATAAACAGAACTGAGACCCACCCATAAAAAACTGCTCCATAGTGCTACTGCAGGGTTTTTTAAAGGTCCATTGCACCTTTAAAAAGCCTGAGTGGAAACTCCAGAAATTCCAACACATGAAACTCGCAAGAGGTTTGATGCTTCGCAAAGATGCAAAAGTTGGTACATTGAGAAAGAGACGCCGGAACAAAGGCTGGGACGCGCCACAACATCTTCTTCTACTGTAAACAAGGTATTTCTGTCCTGCTGCCACACGTCATTACAGGTCTCTGCTCCGCTACAAAGACCAGAGAGCCGGTACAAACCGACCGGTAACATCTGGACGGGAACTGAGTCCTTCATTAAAATCATTAAAAAGCCATCTCAGGTGGAAAACAGCCATATATTCTGAACATTTACCTGGATGGAGGCAAAAGCTTCACGTCACAAGGTTCTATTAATAAAAAGGCGAGGCAGGTTTATTTATAGAGAGGCCGTTTCCATAGTTACTGCTGCTCCGTGACTGATGTCACCTCGTCACATCCTCTCGAGTAATACTTGCATAAAAGCCGTCGATGCAAACACGCAGTAAGTCACATTTTATTTAGCTGTAATTTAAATAAAAACCTGCTGAATATGTATTTTTCTCTCGTTCCCTCTCTTCTCGACCAGAGGAACACGTGTCATCACAGCTGCTCCGACGCCGTTCAGCCTCAGTATGAACGAGTCAACAGGTCTGCAGGAACTATATGTTTACTCCAGTTAAAACAGATGTAATGATACAGTCGGACACGTAGAGAAAGTTTTTCTAAAACAAAACTACTGAAACTGCTTCCTCATTGTGTAACTCCCCTCAGCTTATTTTCTATAAAGAACGTGTGACACAGTTTGTCCTTCATCTGGTGTCGAGTCAGTTTCACCTGACATTTAAATACAGTTTTATTTGGTGGTGGATTTTGTCTTTTTTTCTGACAAACCAACATCTGGAGTTTCAAAACAGAATCATAATTTTAAAGGGAGAATATGAAAGTTTTGCTATTTCCAGCAAACTGAAAAATGTAATTTGATTGCTGTAGAGAGTCAAGGTTTATGTGGATCTGATCACAGACATGATCAGAAAATAGCCAGATAAATGTATTTGTTTATTCCGGTTTAACTTTTGATTGACAGCATTTCAACCGACCTTTTGAGAGGACTGTGGAGAAGCATTGTGGGAAATCAGAAGCATCAGATTTACTGCAATCAAAACTCCCGTCACTGATTCAGATATTTCACTTCTTGTGTCCTTCCCTTCGTCTTTCCTCCGACAGATTACGGGTGGCCCCTCCCGCCCGACCTCTGTCCCATCTGGATCTACCTGGACGTCCTGTTCTCCACAGCGTCCATCATGCACCTCTGCGCCATCTCTCTGGATCGATACATCGCCATACGAAACCCGATCCACCACAGCCGCTTCAACTCCCACACCAAGGCCCGCGTCAAGATCATGGCAGTGTGGACCATTTCCGTGGGTAAGGACACGGATACACACACACACACACACACACACACACACAAACACACACACACATTTTAATTCCGGCTAAGGATTCATGTTATGGGGGACATGAACCTGTGAATCTAATTCGTTGATAATCCAGCAGTTGTTGTTGAGATATTTAACATAAAGTGTCGGACTGATAGACGACATGTCTGTCCCATAAAGATGGACGTCACCCACGGGTTTCTGAAGAGCTGTTTTGAAGCTCAGAGTGAGCTGCTCCACTGTCGCCATCTTGGCAGCGCCTGACTCCGCCCCTAACTCCCGGCTAATATAAAAATGGGCGAAGGACCAGGCTGTAAACATGTTTATTTCTGCTGTAAAGTTGGACATTTTAACATGGGAGTCTATGGGGACTGACTCACTGTTGGAGCCAGACTCTAGTGGTCGTTAGAGGAACTGCAGTTCTTGGAACAGAGGTTAGCTGTGTTTGAGAGGAAGTTTGATTTGATTCAAAGGATAAGTACTGTAGTTAACTCAAATAGTCATGAAAATAAAATGTACCACACATCTCTGAACAAACACCAAAACACAACTGAGCGTACATTGTGAATTCACCAAACCAAGGCTGTGAAAATAACAGTGGTGGTGTTCTGAGTAAAGGTTTAGGCTCACAGTCATCACTGATGTGTTCGTCCTTGTTCACTGCAGCTCTCTCGTCTTTGTCAGTGGAACATTTTGCACGTGGACTTCTTCAGTAATGCTTCAGGTAAAATAAAGCAGCTAAAATGCCAGTTCTGTAAGTTCTTAAATAGATGAAATTACGTCTGAGAGAGGCCACGGTCGAACGCACAAAACTGAAGGAGGAGAGAGAGAGGGCAGGAGGAGGGCTGACAGCTCCTCATGAGAGGCAATTTTCCTGTGTTCAAGACAGAAGTGACGTTTATGACTGCATATAATTTTTATGGAGGCGAGGGAACAATCAGCTCCTGATAATTGGCTTCTGCCTGTCTGGCTGGTATCCAGCTGCTCAGGTCAATGGGCCTAGATGAGCAGGAAATGTAATGATGGGCCTGCAGACGAAGACCTGCAGCCGCTCGGCGCTGGAGGTGGGGGAGGGACGAGCTGGGGGCAGATCAGCTCTGCACCGACGTTATTTACACTCGCTGGGTGAAAACAAGGAGGAAAATTATGAACGGCATGAAAATCATGCAGTTCAGCTTCAGCTGATGACATTTCAGTAAACAATCTGCCACAACACACCTTCCTGTTATTGTTTGACTGAAGCCGAATTATCCAAAAACTTTTCCTCTCCCGTCCTAATGGATTTGTTTTTCTCATTATTAATCGGCAGGCTTTCACACCAAGCTAATTAAGATGAGAAATGCAAGGAAAGCTGACTTTCCTCCAGGTGGCAGTGCGCCCAGCCCTGAGATTTTATCACATTAATGGATGGCAGGAACATTACAGCAATACAACGTCAGCGCTGGTTGGTTTGGCTGAATGATTTACAGCAGATGTAACTGAGTTACTCTGATTTCTGGGCGATAAGAGACGATACAAGCAACACTTTGTTCAACAGAGTGACGCAAATCTGCAGGAGGAACACAGAGGAACGTTACAAAGAACTTTCATGTTACTTTTGTATGATTAGATTTCTAAAAGGTGAAGCCAAGAGGCAGAAAATGATGCTAAACAACCAAAAAATGACCACAAAGAAGCACAGAATATTTGTTAAGAGACGCAAAACAACCACAGAGACATGCAAAAGGATGCAAAACAACTTCAAACCGACACATAATGATCTCAAACAGACAGAAAACGATGCAACAGAGATACACAAAATGATCAAAATGAGACACAAAAAAGATACAAAACAACTACAAAACAGTCCCAAAAGCACCAGAGAGGCACAAATATAAAGTGAAATGACACTAAATAACAGAAAGCTTTTACTATTCGACTGACGGGATACGTTGTTGAAATGAAATCGTCCCCTCGTAAGGAAATGACCCGACTGACCGAATGATGAAGCGCTGCTGAAACTCAGCAGTCGCTCGGTCTGATGATGAGACCGAAGCCTGGCCAGGAGCAGACGGGACAGAGCGGGAGGAAGATGAAGACGGAGGGTTAGTGATCCTGTGTGACGCGTGAGTCACGTGCGACACCAGGGAGCGAAATGTGAAGATTCACAGGCAACGATTTTAAAACCACGAGAAACTGTCGACGTCGGAGAAGATTCTGACTTTCAGCAGCTGGAGATGAACCAGGAAATATGACGATGGAAATATGGACGTAGAGGACAGATCTTTTTTTTTTTTAATATTAACAATAAAAGGTCAAATCTGCATTTCCCACTCGACACACTGGGTTTAAATAAGTAAGGAAGGGTGGCCAACACACACACACACACACACACTCTACACAGGATAAGTGGCGAAGTGGCGTTGGGGTCGTCACAGTGAATCCAAATCCTCACATCAGAGGTTCAGGAGCCGAAGACCTCACTGTTTCCATGGAGCTAAAGTTTCCGACCCTGTGACTCATTTCAAAGTGTGTCCCTGAACGCGTCTCAGCAGCGTTCATATCGGCAATACAAATGAGTCAACTCTCGGTCCTTGTGGACTTCATTAACTGTGGATTTGGAGACTTCAGAGTTGTCCTCTGCTTACCCACAACTCCTTTCTCTGCACACAGGATCACAGAGACCCGAGGTGAGTCTCCACGCCCTAATCCTGCTCATGATTGGTCAGGTGGACCCACGACAGACCCGGTTCCTGGCCCGACTTCACTAAAGACACTTCCTGCACTCGCAGCTGTGAGGAGGGGAAAAAAGCAGATTATAACAAATGAATATTAACGGTTAATGTTAATACACAGTCCAACAGTGGGATTAAACTGAATCCGCTGAAGCCTGTCGACAGAACAGGACCATTACAATAAGTCCAATTAAAACAAGTTCAAAGAAATGCTTGTGTGTGAATAAATTCAGTAACAGTTCTTCGACCAAAAGCTCCACCTCCGTGAAGCTGCGTCCGTCTGAGCGAGTCATCCCGCCCTCCGTCCTCCTGCAGATCTGAAGCTCGATACCTCGGGTTCACTCATCACTCAGCTTCTCCTCCCGGTTAATAAATGCAGTTATGTCATTTCTCTGAGATCTGGTTACTGCCGGAGATAAGTTTTGTACATTTAGCCAAGAGGGAAGTGACTGAATGAGGAAGTAGTGCAGATAAAACTTTCTACTGGGAATTTGTTTCTTTATTCATTCGTTCACATTTCGCCAGCAGCCTGTTTTCATCTCTCGTCCCCGGACAGATGATGTAAAGTCGTCTTTTCAAAAGGTCCAATATTTTCCTCTTATTCTGTGTTTAATTTTAAGTGTTGAAAGATATATTTGTAAAAACCATCTCAGTGTAGTTTTACATCTCCTCTCTCAGGCTTCTCTCTGCAGCTCTAGTAACAACAGGTCGGTGAGCCAATCAGAAGAGAGGAGGCTCTGAGCCTCTCTTCTGATTGGCTGACTGTTTTCTGAGTGATCCAATAAAAATATAGCAGATTTCAGGTAAAAACACTCAGAGAAACCAAATCCTGCAAGGTTTGGATGGTGGGTCCAGGTGGGCGGGGCTTGGTGACTGCTTTGTTGTGACATCACAAAGTTCCAGAAGTCCTGACGGCTGGTTTTAAGGCTCAGTTTCTGAATACAGGCTGTGTGCATTTCTCTGTGGACTGAGGCTTTGATACTTTCACAGTATTAATATAGAAGCTAGAGCTGATCTATAATCACACTACACATGGACACAGACCTTTAGTCTGTGTTTCTTTCAAAATGTATTTGTTGCTGCAAATCCATGGAATATAAACACAATTTTAGGAGACTGATTCATCCGAGTTATGACTCAGACTGGGAAACACGTGACTTCTCAGAAAGCTCCAATATTTCCAACTTTGCACTTAGTGATATTGAAAAGTGTGGAGCGAGCAAACAGTCTGCCCTTCACATTAATTAAAACTGGAGTTTAACAGATGTAGTTGTTGTATTGTCAGCGCAGAACGTTTTAAAGGAACACTCTGCAGACACGCTCCTTCTTCCCCATCTCCACCACGTCTTTAACATATGAGCCCCAGTATGATTCTAATTTCTTTACCTGAAGAAGAAGAAGAAGAAGCCGTTCAGAAGAAATATCAACTCCTTCTGCTCACTCTGACTTTTCCCGCCGTCCTCCGCTGTTTACTTTTAATTCCACAGTCACTTGTGCTGCAGGTTTGAGAGGCCAGTGTTGGAATCAGAGACGCCTCAGTTTGTTTTTCAGCTGAGAGTTGATGTTTCTCTGGATCCAGAATCAGCAGAGATTATATATAATCGGGAGTAGTTTTAGGTAGAGCGCTGTGTTCATGTTAACTCACTTCTAACAGGCTCTCGTATCACGAATATTATTTAGTTTCTCCTTATTTCTTATGTATTGTATGTTTTTCACAGCTGTTACACCATCTCTCATTGACAGGTTTCATTTGAAGCCAGAAAAATAACACGGGAATTTGAAAAAACAAGAATTCGAGCCCCGTAAAGAAGCAGAAAGAAACGTTAGTGTTAAAACTAAAAAAAGTGTTGAAATAGTAGAAACACACAGTAGAAACGCTGCAGACCAAAGGAAGTACAGTGCATGAGAGGTGACGTGTGGAAGCTGCCGGTGTGAAACACTCAGCAGCAGTGAAGTGAACAGTTTGGAGATAATGGATAAAAACAGCAGCGTGTTCCTCAGAGAACTTCGTAATGAGCGGAGCGCTGTGGTCGTTGTTGGCGGAGGAACCGGGCGTGTGCGACGCGCCGAGTCTCTCCTGTGAGCGGTTTGTTCGACTCCCACTCTCTCTCTCTCTCTCTCTCTCTCTCTCTCTCTCAGCTGATTATTTTCTGCAGTTTTTAACATGTATCTGCAAAGAACTCCGGGCTAAACATTAAAAGAAAAAAAAAGCTCTGCGGTGACGCAACCGAGCTGAAGCTCAACAGAGTCGACAATGTGATGTCAGTGTGGC